CACCGCCAGCTATGCAAGAGTCACCCGGAGCAGGACCACCCCTCCCTGGCCTCTGGGCTGGGTCCTGTGAGCGGGGACTGCAGCGGTCCAGGGCAGGGAGGGCAAAGATGTACTGTGTTTCCTGGAAAACCCTATGCAAATGAGCAGTCTTTTTCCTAATCAGATCTCCGGTGAAGAGAGTCGAGTTAATCACACTTTGAAGTTCAAGTCCTGGCAGGGCCCCGGCTCTCAGCAGCTGTATTGGTGCATTTCCACCTGTCATCCCTGGCCTCCGTCTCCTCCCTCCCCAGCGGCACCGACGCAGATGGCCTCAGATGCCAGTGCACTGTTGCTTCTAACTTACAGGAAACCATCGTGTTATGAATTTCATCTTCTTTCTTACTTTCATTCATCGACAGCTATTTCTGGGGGCACCTACTATGCGCCAGACATTGGTCTACTTCTCTGGCTCCTACTGTGTGCCAGGCAGTGGTCTACTAATAGACACCTACTGTGTGTCAGACATTGGCTTATTATTGGGCATCTACTATGTGCCAGGCATTATTCTATTTAGTGCGCCCCTACTGTGTACCAGGCACTGGTCTACTGATTAGGTACCAGCTGTGTACCAGGCATTGATCTACTGATTAGGCACCTACTGTGTACCAGGCATTGATCTACTGATTAGGCACCTACTGTGTACCAGGCACTGGTCTACTGATTAGGCACCTACTGTGTACCAGGCACTGGTCTACTGATTAGGTACCGACTGTGTACCAGACATTGATCTACTGACTAGGCACCTACTGTGTGCCAGGCATTGGTCTACTATTAGACACCTACTGTGTGTCAGACATTGGCTTATTATTGGGCATCTATTATGTGCCAGGCATTATTCTATTTAGTGCGCCCCTACTGTGTACCAGGCACTGGTCTACTGATTAGGTACCAGCTGTGTACCAGGCATTGATCTACTGATTAGGCACCTACTGTGTGCCAGGCATTGATCTACTGATTAGGCACCTCTTGTGTGCCAGGCATTGATCTACTGACTAGGCACCTACTGTGTGCCAGGCATTGGTCTACTATTAGACACCTACTGTGTGTCAGACATTGGCTTATTATTGGGCATCTACTATGTGCCAGGCATTATTCTATTTAGTGTGCCCCTACTGTGTACCAGGCACTGGTCTACTGATTAGGTATCAGCTGTGTACCAGGCATTGATCTACTGATTAGGCACCTACTGTGTACCAGGCACTGGTCTACTGATTAGGCACCTACTGTGTGTCAGACATTGGCTTATTATTGGGCATCTACTATGTGCCAGGCATTATTCTATTTAGTGCGCCCCTACTGTGTACCAGGCCCTGGTCTACTGATTAGGCACCAGCTGTGTACCAGGCATTGATCTACTGATTAGGCACCTCCTGTGTGCCAGGCATTGATCTACTGATTAGGCACCTCCTGTGTGCTAGAAGGTGGAGCTGTGAATAAGTCAGACAAACCTAAATGCTTCTTCTGACAGAGCTTACCTCCTAGCAGGAGATGACAGACAAGAAACGAGAAACTTAATTTAAAAGTAAGGGAGAGAGTCCGGGTGAGTAAGAAGGTCAATAAACGCGGGCGGGCTGGGCAGCAGACCCAGTGTGTGCCAGAGCCAGCTCACAACCAGCCAAGAAGAGCCCATTGGCAAATTTTCAGGAATTTTGAGAGCGGGTTGCTAAACACAGCCATTGTTAAAAATTAAATTGCATAAACTTACAATTAAACAAAGGTATATTTAAAACAAAATCCAGTCCTGCCGGAGTGGCTCAGTTGGTTGAGCGTTGTCCTGTGCACCGAAAAGTTGCCAATTTGATTCCCAATTAGGACACGTTCCCGGGTTGTGGGTTTGCTCCCCAGGGACACGTACAAAAGGTAACTAATAGATGTTTCTCTCTCTCTCCTTCCCTCTCCTTAAGCATGTTCTCGGGTGAGGATTAAAAAAATGAAATAAATAAAACTGAAAGAGTATCTTTTAAAAAAGAAACACTTAAAACGAATCAATTCCTAATTATGTTTACCAATATTCATGCTTTGACGTTATTTATGTCTATCACATTACATCTGGTGATAGTGGGCTTCTGAGTATCTTTTTTTAAAAAAATATATTTTTATTGATTTTAGAGAGAAAAGGAGAGGGAGAGAGAGATAGAAACATCAATGATGAGAGAAAATCATTTATCGGCTGCCTCCTGCACGCCCCCTACTGGGGATCCAGCCCACAACCCAGGCATGTGCCCTGATCGGGAATCAAACCGTGACCTCCTGGTTCATAGGTCGATGCTCAACCACTGAGCCATGCTGGCCGGGCTGAGCATATTTTTTTCTGATTCAGTGTCAAGCGACTTTGCAATGGTAGGTTGATACCAACTGAAGGGGCAGTATTTACACTATAGAAATTGGCAAATGGGGCAGATCAGAGAGCTGTTAACCCCTCACCCACACACTACTGGACAGGTCAGCCTGGGAGCAACCTGCTGATCTTGGTGGTGTCTGTCTTCTCATAATTCTGTGCTGGGAGGGAGGGGGGGCTTGCACAGTGTGGCTTCATCAGTGCCCACGTGCTGTGCTGAGGGGACAGCACAGAGTCAGAGAGTTCT